CTTTGCCAAAAATTCCTCTCAGTGGTTAGATCAGTGGAGACACTTCTTTCATTGAGTGAACATCTCAATCTTTCACCTACTTTACTAGTTCAAAGTCTATATTTCTAGCAGGTGGCAATAGATCACAACCATCATAATACTACTGTTAATAGATAAAAAATGGATAGGAACATTTTAGCTATCATGAAAAAGAATGCTATAGGCTTTGAAGCAAATATATGTGGTACTTGGAAAAATGGCTCCTAAAGCAGACACATATTACACATTTGCAGTTGGCAAACAATGTATGTTACTACCTTTCAAGGAAACCATGAGTTCTTCTGCCTGTGTATGAATGAAGATTCATTCTTTTAGAGAATGTCATTTTAAGAAAGTCAAGCACAGTGCCATATGACTGGCCAGCTGGGTTACACTTACTGGATTTAGTGACAGCCTAAAGCCAATAAACCAATAAAGCAGTGACTGCTGGTGAATGGAAAACATAGAGCGGTGTCAAAGAGGGCCAAGACATTCTGAAGCTGTTACTGGAAAATATCCTTTCCTTGTGATTGGTCTTCAGAAATGATGATCCAGAATAAAAATTCAGAAATAAAAATCAAAAAAAAAAGCAAAAAAAAATTGAATTATGCCCTTTATATCCTTAAAACTTTCCTGGAAGTCAAAACTTTCAGGATATTAATTGGTTTAACTCAGCAAAGAAAGAGTTTAGTGGGAAGCTTGCTCAAAAACAAAATGGAAATACTTTCTGACAGCAGAGGGCCTATTAATATAATGTAAATACAACAAGGAATTGTCACTGAAATTAATAAAATCAGACTAGAAATAAGCCCCAAATCCTTAACACTTAAGCGAGTAGTTGTCGGAGGAACTCGCACTGAAGTGGAGGTATCCATACTATGAAGTTTTTAATTTAAAACTGGACATCTCATAAACAAAAAAAGCACATCAAGTCTGAGACTACGAAACTCTACATTGGTAAATAGGAAGAAATAATAGTTTATTCTATTAGTTTCTGTTAGCCCTTGTTGTTTCCTGTTAGAAAAAAAAATAAAGGAAAAAAACTGACACAGTTTTTATTAAAAAAAAAAATAGGAAAAATATACCTTTCTCTTGTTCCTGGCTAATGCAATTTTATACTAAAAAATAAGAGAGCTAGAGAGATGAAAAAAGCCATTAAGCATGCTAGGTGCAATGAAAAACAAAAATGACAAACTTTGGTATTATAAACAGGCACGACTGTACATACTGTGCAACCCAGTTGGATGTCAGCTTTTAATGGATATATGTATATGTGCTATTTTAGAATGATTATTTTATAGCAAACCATCTTTCAGGCATCCATATGTAAAATTTGCAGCAAAATGGCTTATTGGGTATTAACTGTGGTGACACATCCCTAAGCAGCTGCACTGCTAGTTGCTGTCTAGGAATCAATGCTAGCCTGTGGATATGGCCAAAGGCGAATGCTCCTCAGGTCCCAGTGCTGACGTGGTTTGTTAGAAGTTGGATCCAGCAGTGGTTTTTGGAAAACATAATGTGAGTCCCTTTCTCATGCAATTCAACAAGGCCAAGTGCAAGGTCCTGCACCTGGGGAGGAATAACCCCAGACACCAGTACAGGCTGGGGACCGACCTTGTGGAGAGCAGCTCTGCAGAGAAAGACCTGGGTGTCGTGGTGGATGATAAGTTGACCATGAGGCAGCAGTGTGCCCTCGTGGCCAAGAAGGCCAATGGAATCCTGGGCTGCATTAAGAAGAGCATCACAAGGATGATCAGGGGCCTGGAACATCTGCCCTATGAGGAAAGACTGAGAGAGCTGGGCCTGTTCAGCCTGGAGAAGAGAAGGCTGAGAGGGGATCTAATCAGTGTCTATAAGTACCTCAAGGGAGGGAGTGCAGAGGACGGGGATGGTCTCTTTTCAGTGGTGGCCACTGATAGGACTAGAGGAAATGGCCGGAAACTGAAACATCAAAAATTCCATAGGAACTTAAGGAAAAATTTCTTAACAGTGAGGGTGACAGAGCACTGGAACGGGCTGCCCAGAGAGGTTGTAGAGTCTCCTTCTCTGGAGATCTTCAAAACCCGCTTGGATGCAGTCCTGTGCCACGTGCTCTAGGTGTCCCTGCGTATGCAGGGGGGTTGGACTAGATGATCTCTAGAGGTCCCTTCCAACCCTAAGCATTCTATGATTCTATGATTCTGTACTCTTGGGCCATTCCTGCAATGCTACAAGCTTTTTCCTGCTAAGAACTTATTGGGGAATTTTTTATTTTCATCTTATCAAGGATAAGGAGGAGGTTGTATTCCTCCCTTTTCTACATCTTTCATTTTGTGTTATTTGTTTCTAAAACAAACCAAGAAAAAGACAAAAATATATGACATTTTTTGTTTGTTTGTTTTACATGATTTTTAACACATTATGCTACCGCATTTTTAAATACTTTGTATTTCTAGCATTTTTTTTCCTCAAGAGACTCTGATTATTGAAATACTAGTGAAAAACAGCTCCTGAAAAATGAGAATAGTGGTCAACACAAGAATAATTTATCTGAAATTTAATAAAATTTCATGTCAAAAGTATATGTAGTATCAATAATTACTGAATAGTTTGGATAAGAGATGCCTTTGATTCTGAAAGATTTACAACTTTTTTTTTTCCTAAAATGACAGTATTTTCAAATACAAGAATTTTATTTCAAAAGTATGTGCAACTTGCAGGCTGGAAATATATAGGGCTTTCAGGCTACCTATGCTCTTTCGAAACTTTTAAATACTGGGTTTTGCAGAAACTGGGAAAATAAGATACTGAAAAGGCCTTTATATTAAATAATTACAAAGCACTGTAATTACAAAAATATATTTTTAAAATACACTGAATACATTTTTACACATGTATCTCAAAATGCCAGAGAAAATGTGTATGAGTGTTAGCAAGAGAAGAGACACTCATATTAGAAAAGCACAAATATATTGTTTTTATCTGAATGTGAGTAGTTAACATTGACTTCATCTTTTTAGCTTCTCAAAACAAGCATTTCCATTTTGTTGTATTGTAATTTAGGTTTGAACATGTCAATAAGGTGTATAGGCTGATTATATCAGTGCTCAGTGCAAAAATATAGAAAAAGATAGTCTGTTCTAAGTAGTTATCAAGCAATTATAGTCAAATATAATCTCAGGCAATTCCAATCACATTTAGAGAGTAAATTTAATAATACAAATATGTAAATAACTAATACTGTTCACTATACCTCCATGTGGGAAATAACTTTTATAATCTTAGTTGCATTGCTGAGACAGAAGAAGCATTAAACATAAAAAAGAAAAAGTTGAAGCAAAACAGTAAATATGGTAAGTCAAACTTCATGTGCGCCTAAGGCTCCAAATGTAAATTTTGTAGTATTAATGCATTTTACATACATTGTTCAATTTCTTCCTATTCTTTTCCCAATATTCAGCTTCAGATGAACATTAAAAAAAATGCTTTTCAGTCACTTCTTTACATGTGGGAGATGGGGAATCCAGGGGTAAAGAAATAAGGCTGTAAGTAAATTACAACTAAGTCATTTCTAGAAAGAACAACTGCAAACGTAACAGGCTTCAGTGATGGTCTCAGGGTTTGAACTCATAGTCTCAGACAGGGAAAGTATTAGAAAAACATTCGTGTATACTCGTACCTTCTTTACAGGTTTGTTTCTCTATATCTCTTTAACCATACATGTAGAGACTAATTATTTTTCCCTCTGACATGCAGTGAATGTTTTAAATGGTGTTCAACTGAGTACTTCATGAGCTGTCAGGAATTGTGTTGCGTGTGGAGTTTTTCAGTGAATATTTGGTATCCATAGAAGCCTTATAATGCCTGAAATACAAAGCAGAGAAGTTTATTACGGTGCTAGAAAGTTCTAGGACACAAAAGCAAACAAAAGTATAACCCATTGTACTTTTTTGTTGTACACTGAAGTGTTGTACTGTTTTAGTACTTTGCGGGAAAATGCTCATTAGATAAACCAGCTTTGCACCACCCTGCTTCATCAATATTAACTGGAAAAAATACAAACTCTAAATCTCATCCCATTGCCTTTTTCTCATCCTTTGTCTAATCTGACCTTTGGGTTCATGCCTTGGTGTGGAGGTATAGGATCTCTCAGTTGCTGAGCCAGGGACCTTGAAAATGCGCCACAGTTTGGCTGTGACCTGCACACCCTACATTTTCTTTCTGTAGAATCGAGTGCAGGGAATAGGAGGCAGAAGGGGGTAGAACTGTGCTCTTGGCTTTTATCCTGGGAGAGATCTGGGATAGTTAGGGCACAAACTTGGAACTGGGAACTTCGAGTGCTCCTTGGGTACCCCACTTGGACCGCAGATAGTCTACATTGGACTAGATTTAGCTATTACTGCTATTTTATTCTTTGAACTGAATTTAAGGCAAAGAAGGGCTTATTAGTCTGACCCAGGGAATAAAAGTCCCAAGGAATGGCAATTATGAAAGAATGAGGCAAAGTATAAATGTAGTGCCATATGCACTCGTAATGCTCAAAATGTAAATTATATGGTACTCTGGCAGACTAAATCCTCTGCTTAATATTGTTGTCAAACTGCTTCTGATGTTTTTACAGGGTCCTATTTGGTGACATCAGGAACAAGTGAGAAATTACTGAAAGCTATAATAATGCTAACGGCCATTCTCTGTTTCTAAGAGAAGTAGTTTATACCAGATCTGTTTTCAAAATGTATTACGTGAGCAAAATCAAAGACTCTGTTGTTCTAATTTCTGATGTTCTGTTGTTCTAATTTCATAATCATCAAGCTTTTTAGTTAATATTATTAATATTAAAAACACTAACTAGAAGAGAATAGAAGCCAAAGAAAATAGCTATGCTTTCTGTAAATTTTCTGTGTATTTGTGGTTTGATTATGAAAGTGTACACTATATAATCATTTATTTGTGGTGTAATAGCAAAGGCTTTTCAAAACTAGAGCTGCTTCTTCCCTTTCTAGAAAAGGCTTCTGAGGTGAAATTTGCAGTAACACTTTTCAGCAAAAAAGTTGACTTGGGATCATCAGGTGATACAGGAGGTAAGCAACTAGTCTCTTTTCTTACACCTGCGGAAAGGTCTCCCAGACCACACTGAGGATGAGCAAAGTAAAACACATGAGTTTTGGTTACATTCAAGTGGCCGTTGAATGCCAGAGGGAATACTACAATACAAACTGCAATTTGCAAACAGCACCAAATTATAACCAAAATGTCTCTATGACATGGTGAGCCCATGCAAAGAGCTTGCCTTTACAGGGCCTATGCCAGAAGGAAAGACTAAAAGGTTTGTATTTGTGGTATGAATCAGTGGGTATTGTGGACATCAGTGGGGACTGTCTGGACTATCCACATTTTGGGCAGCGTAGTTACGTTGGGCTCACTCAAGCTTGGTCTTGTGTTGCCGTTCAAGCGGCGCGGCGACCTGGTTCAGGAACGGCACAGCGACCACCCCCAGGCCCCTCGGGCCATCAGCACGCTGACACCAATGTGGTGGATGGCAAATGGCGTTTATTGATGGGTAACAAGGTGTTATATAGCTAAGGTCTACAACGTCACATCCGTCTGCTTACATCATAAACTAACACTATTGGCTATTAGTGGCCCTATCTTTCCGTACAGCGCGATATCTTCCGGCCGCCAGACCCTAACTACCTGCAACAGTCTTGTGGGCTTAAATACCCGCCTGCAGTTGGAGCGCATGAAGTGCCCTCAGGGACTGCATATGTCCTTTCGCTTTCGTCTGTGGGGGAAGCCATTTCCCTGAGATGGTTCTGCAACGTGAATTAAAACATGTCGTGTGAGAGTGATAGGGAGATCAGCATCAAAAGGGCATTTGATACTGATAGGCATTTGAGTCGATATGGATCCACCTGAAAGAGCAAGAAGCAATGAGAGCCTTAGGAATGATAAGGAAGAATCCAAGAGGGGGTGAGGAGAAGCAGATTTTCTCCATCCCTTTTCCCATGGAGGAACTGAGACGAGAAAATCACAGCCCTTGGGTGTGCAAGCACATTTTGTGTGCCACATGGACTGGGATTTGGATTTAGTGCTTCATTTTACTGCTTGGTTTCTTGGTTTGAGTCCAATTTATTGCAGTAAATTGTTTATTACTTACCATATGTTTCTTGTGATGTACGACAGTGAAATTTTGTTTGGCCTCTTTTCTTTAGAGAAATTTTCGGCCATATATTATTATTTATTCATGACTTTCTGAACCCAAGAGCTTAAAGTAACTTGAGTTATCAAAAATTAAGATTTTTTGCCTACTCACTTTTTGTTGCTTTTGTTTACCATCAGAGAGTTTTTTGGCAATCCAAACTGCACAGGTGCCACATTCATTTTATATTAGAACCATTTGCATCATGTTTCGTAGCAAGTATTCTGGCAAAGTGTTGAATTTTTCTCCAGCTCTTGTGGCTAGCTCATGCTTATATGCAAGCAAATGTTTACTGTGGAGCTAATAAATATTACACAAATTGGGAAAAAAAAAAAAAGCTTTTTCAGTCAAGGTTTCAGAATATGAGATTTGTTCTCTGGCAAATCACTTTAGAATGCTGCTTTAATAATTTATTTATACAAGCCAAAGCTTCAACATGAATAAAAAAGCTTGTTACTGTTCAAACATGAAAGATTTAAAATAATTTTCCTTTATGATAATTTCTCTGTGTGCATTTCTATGCAGTAGCAATTGCCTTCTTACGTTGCCATTTCTCATCCCTGGTAACACATATAATTTTATATGAGTTTAAGTTTCTCTGAGGTTGGACTGGATGGTCTCTAGAGGTCACTTCCAACTTCAACCATTCTGTGTTTTTGTAATACCTGTTGAAGATCATCCAGAATCTGGACATATGATAGTGCTGATATAATTATGTTTGTTGAGAGACTACTCGTTGCACCAAGTATTGCCCAGAACAATAAAAAGTAGTCCCCTGATGTCCAACCTCCAAAAAGCTCTAAAAAAAACTCCTGTGTCTACAGCACAGGAAAAGGATTGAAGGGGGAAAAAAGCACTACCAAATAATCAGGGTCAAATTCATGCCATAATCATTCTGCAGGGGTGAAAGGGAGAGGGCTTTGGAGAGGGTGAATGAGAAAGGTAGAGAGGTAGTGAAACGAATGAGATATGAGGAAGTGGAAAGTGGGTGTTGTAGCAGAGATGAAGAAAGGTGAAAGAGAAGCAACCAAGAAGTGGAAAAGAACTCCGACTGCAGCAGCCATGTCTGACATTCAAATGTAATTGGTTTTACAGCCTAAGTCTAAATGGCATTTTCACAGAAGCTTCTTTTTTCCTGAAGGCCGCATGGTATGAGATGACAAAGTGCTGATAATTGCTTTTCTGTTGAACATTGTAAGGAACAGGCAGGGAGCTTTCGCTACAGCTTCATGTATATGTGTGTGCGTGTGTGTGTGGTTGTCTGTGTTCCAGTAGTGCCTGGAAGCCCTTGTCACTGACCAGATGACCATTGTTTTTCCTTTGAATTTTTGTGACTAATATCACCACAGGAAACCTAAGACCATTTCTGTGATTGCAAGTGGAAGAAGTGCAGCATAAGACATGTAGCCTTTGATAGAAGCCATAAAGGTGATCCTGAGAATAAATGATGTGATCGGACAAATAGAGAGGAACCATATAGAACATGACACTTAAGAGGGAATTGCATTGCAACCTTATTTTTAAACAGCTAGGAGAGAAATTAACCATCTGCACAGACACGACCAAATCCATCCCCAGCGCCAGTGACTAGATTAGTTACATCAAGGATCAATTTGGCCCAATGTATTGGGCTACAGAGTTTGAAAAGGACATGAAAAAAGATGAATTGGAAACAGATGTGAGAAAGCATTTTTAGAATGGTACATTTGTGAAGTAGTTACTGGGCAAAGTAATTGATGATGGAAAACACAAGAGGACAAGGCCGGATGCTGAGAGAGTGAGAGAGTGCCAGGAGAAGGTGTCACTACAGCAACTCTTAGGCACATTTCAGGAGCTGAAGTACATAGGCAAAAGGAAACATCTGTCAATCCAGGTTCTCTCCATAGTTCGAAGTGTATGAGAAGATCTCAGCATGAATTCTTATTCCTTATTCGAAGGATAAGTCCTGTGTGAGGACCAATGTTTCTACTATCAGCCTGCTCCCACAAGTCTCACGTCAAAGAAGCTTTCTTTTATAGATACATGTATATTTTTTCATATATGATATATATTTATACCCTTAACATTGTGTTTTGTGAAATCCTATTTTGTCCAGTTGCCAAGTCTTCTCGCATTCTCTAAGACTCTGCCTTGTTTGCTCATCCATGTGCAAAAGTAGACCTGAACCTTGCCAGAGTCTTGGGTGCTTTACAGGACAAATTTATAGGAAAAATAGTTTAAAAATTGTTTTATTATTCTTAAAGAGAGATTAGGATACCTTCAGTCAATTTGTTATGCAGTTCTCTTAAAAAAGCAAAAGCAAGTTAATTTTAAATGTCAAGTCAAAGTGAAAACTTTTATTTACTTTCCTATGGGAATACTGATTACCTTTTCACAGACCTCAAAAATATCCTTTGGAAAGAAGTGTCTTCATTAAAGGACTTCTCAAAGGAAAAGGTCTGATTAGCCCTAATAATAACAGTTATCATACAGATAGTTACATAGTTATCATCAGAACAAAAGATTGAAAGTCCTGCTTCGCCCTTCAGGTTTTAAACAAATGACATGATAGTCACTGTCTTTACTAAAATCATGCTCTTGCATTTTACATAAAGAGGGGTTAGTGAAAATAGGAATATGTTCAGGTAAAAGTAAGTGCCATAAAAACATCTGAAGATTGTGTTTGTTGAGTATTTTCATTATTGCTGTGACATCTCTTATCAAGCTTCATGTATCTGAAAGTTCTTGCTATTCACTGCCATGATGAGGTGTGAATTGGCAAAACTGAAACCTAGAGAGTCATTTAATAATTTTTCTTAAAAACTTATATATATATATACTAGTAGAATTGCAGCAATTACTTACAACAGTCAGCATGTGCCAGGTTATTAAGTTTATTGAAGTGTTTTCACTTTTTCCTAACTCCTGCTTGAGAACTAACTCCTCCTTTTTCCTAACAACTCCTGCATGTTCACAGAACTTCATGAAAACTATGGGAGTTCTGAGTCAAGGCACAGTTCTGACTCTAGGGAGCACGTTACAGGATTGTATCTGAAGTACTTACCACTGGATGCAAAAATAATGCATCTAAGACCAGTCCTGTCTAAGAAAGGCCATTAGCCAGCAGATGAGCGGCGTAAGTGGAATCCAGGCAGGGATTCCAGAACATAGTTCAAACATCCAGCTCCACAATATGGACCTACCCATGGGCAAATCATGAAAAAACAGGTGTGAAGGGAGCCTTGCTCAGCTGAGGCATTCTTCACTTCATTTCATAGGTGATGATGTACATATCACACCTACGTGCCTACCTGAGCACAGCCATCTATGAAATGCAGCATTTGTCATACATAAAGATACGTTGTACTTCTTGGGAGACTAAAGATGTGGAAGTGGTGTATTATAACCTAGATTATAAATGTGCACATCTATACGTATATGTGTGTGCGTGTGCCCACATACACTTAAAAATATGAACTTTCAAGGACAAATGACTTTTTTACAGTTGAAGTCTATGCACCTCAGATACAAAGCAGGTTGTGAAGACTGGATTTTATACCAGTATTTCTAGAACTCTTGTAAAACCAAGGTTAAGTGAATTTGCTATCAATTCCAGTATTATATTTTGAGGACCTGAATTATCTGCAAGCTTGATAGTAAAAAAAGAGGGGCTTGTTTTCCAGTTATTTCTATATTTTATACTAGTTTTATACTGGTTTGAGTTTTTTAGGTAGAACATGTCATTGAGAGATGGTATTGATGCTTTCTGCTGGAGAAACATATGGATTCTCAGGTTCACAGATTTCAGAGCTGTCTGTGTATAAATTAGTATCCTAAGTTAGTTGAAACTTGGCCAATTCCATAGTATTTTAGCTAATTCTTTAATGTTAGAAGAACAA